TGAGCACATATGTTTTTTAGAGCATTTGCATAATTTATTTAAAATGACTTAAGCACAATAAATGAATAGGCAAAATACTGAGAACTTTAAGAAGTGGAAATAAAAATGTCTAACAAGTATATGTAAAAAGAGCTCAAACTTAATCATAATTAAAAACCGCAATGAAACACCATTTCCAATTTAGCGAAGATTTTCCTTTTTTAGTTAAAAGCCCAGTTCGGAAAGGATGGTGGGGTAGGGGAGTGCCCAGGTGCTGTGGGTGGCAGTGGAGACTGGGCACACTTTGCGGGAAGCACATCAGGAGCAGGCACTCAGAACAGAGAGCTGCAGCTGGGCTGGAAACAGCCTCAAAGAGGGGCGTGGGGTCAGTGTGGGGATAAGAGTAACTCCTGTCACCTCAAATCTCTGTTTGTATGAGAACTACTTTTTTGTTGCTAAAAGAAAGAAGGGGCATTTTTTCCCTTTGGTGCTTTGGGGGTGGGAGTGACTTTGGTAGGGTTCCCAGGAGATAAGGAATAACATGTAACCAGGAAGATGGATGTGCTTTATAGGGGCATAAGGATATGGGATTGGGTCCTCCCTGGGAGAGGGCTGAGGAAAGATGCTTGGAGTAGCCCCTGTACCGAAGAAGGGAATGGGCTCTGGGCCACTGGGTCTCCATCCAGCTCTGCCACATGGCCTGAGGCAGAGCATGGCTGCATCTGGGTGAGAACCAAACGAGGACGACGGGCAGCCTATGTCATAGTCACCAGCCTGGACTGCAAAAGCCCAAGGGAAGGTCAGGGAGGAGAGCTTTCAGGTTGCTGGTGGCTCTCCCGCTGGAGGGGGACACAGACTGGTTTGATGGAAGTCTTGATTCTCTTAAACTTTTTTAGTGGAGATCATATTTTTGTAGGCTTTCTTGAACGTTCTGTTATTTAAAAAGAAAAACATTTTAAAGTTCACAACCCTTGGTTCTGGAGCTCCAGTCCAAAAATGAACTGTTACTTACAAAGGGCTTTGAACAGTGCCTGGCACGTTTTAAATGCTCAAGTAAATGTTTTAAAAGTAAATACTTTAAGGATAAAGCCTCAAATTATGGAGAAACCCTTAATACATAGCCTATCAAAGTTCAGAAAGGTTTGAAGGTAGTGAAATATCCCACAGGGTAGAATTTGCAGCAGGTTCACACATGAGAAAGAGCTTCTGCCTTCCCGTGATGACCCACAGTACCTTTCCAGTGAGAACTGTATCTATTACGCAGATTGGAATTCTCATTGACATGATGCCAGCATTTTTTTACTGTGGGCAGATTTTCATTTGCTCCTTTAATAGCATTTATTGAGCACATACTATGTGCCAGGCACTATCCTACACATAGGGCAGTTTTGCTTTCCTCTGATAACAGAGCAAATTTCCTTTCCTTAAGACAGACATTGAATAAACAAATAAATATACAATGTCAGTTGGTTATAAGCATTATGAAGAAAAATAACGCTGGCTAAGGGTGGGAGGTAAAGGCTACAGATTCAAAGGACTCTCAGTCAGGTGGAGAACTGACCAGTAAACAGACAATCATCACACAGAAATAAAATCAACAAGTGGGGTGTACTCAGATGTGAGCAGAGAGAAGGGTTGCCCACTCATTGAGGGAGGTGTCAAGGAAGGCTTCTGGGAGGAGAAGCATGGCCTGAATCTAAAAAGGTCAGCCAGTGAAGCAGTGGGGAAGGACAGTCTCACAGTGGCTGCAAAGCTACAGAACAGAGAGAGAGCACATGATAGGGGCCACCATGGAATACAAACAAAACCACCTGGATCCATTCCAGTTGGAAGGCTCTGGAAGAGCCTCAAAGAAGTGAACTATGAGCACACATGCAAGCACATGCATGTGCACGCACATACCTGAAGTAGTCACCTGCTGTTTCTGCCTGCTTAGTCCCTCAGCACCTCCCCATCCCATGTGGCTAAGGAGGGGCATCCCAGGAGATGGCCTGAGATGCAGGCCTGTCCCATCATGGCACCCCTATACCCTTGTCCAGAGATTAGTTCATAATGCCAAGAGAGCCATATGGTCACAGGCTTGGGCCTGCTGATAGTTAGTTTTTTCAGTATGTGTAGAGAAAGCAGCAGAAGACAATGAGGGTAATAAGAAAAAGGAGCAGAGAAAGGGCCAAGAAAGCCCTCATGACATCATTTCAGCCCCAGGATCCAGTCATGCCTGAAGCTCGCCTTTGGACTTTCTAGTTACACGATCAAAAGGAAGAAAAACCCTTTTGTAGCTTAAGTTAGTTTACATTGGGTTTTTTGCCATATACAACTAGATTAATATACCCTCTTTTGGGGGAAGAGTTTCAGAGTGAGAGAGAGAGAGAGTGAGAGAGAGAGAGAGGGAAGGGGGGTAGCACAGAGGGAAAGAGAGGATGGAAGTCAGGATCACTCCCACTCCCATTAAGTCTGATTTTTAAAAAAAGGTGAAATAGGTGGTTTCAAGACATTTGGGAGAGAACAGAAACAGCAACTAGAGCTCCTTGGGGAGGAACTCAGGGTATGTGAAAGTCACAGTCTATATGAATGGGTTATATAAGCCTTGTATATTCCATACAGTCCTAAGTCATCTTTAGACAGGGAAGTAACACAGAATAGCTGATCAAAACCACCAGGAATATCATCCGTTTCAAACTAGTTGACTGTTTTTATTACTAATACACATCAGTCACAGAACTTTTCCAAATATTTTTGAGACAAACTTAATATTTTTGACTCTTTATCTCTGATGCCAAACAACCATCCAGTACTTTCTAGAAAACTCAAGCAGTTGTACCCATTAAGGTCCAAGTCTAACAGATGTTACAGCAAAACAAATTGCTAGATCTCCAGAGATCACTACAGAAGCCTAAAAGCTCAGATTCCGTTGCACATATATATGAAAACTCTAATCAGTTGGTCACAGATAATACCAGCCTTGGTCTGAAACAGAGCTTCAAATCTTTAAATCCATGAATCAGAAAGATGCTCATCTTACAGTGTGTTATAGTATAAAAATAGCCTAAGGAGCCTTTGTAGTAAGCACTGGGCCTCCTTCTGGCAGAAAATAACAATGCCTCAGTATTTGTTCTTTTTTCACTAGCATTTAACCAAATACCTACTATGTGCCCACGATTCCAGCACTGTGTGTGCCTGCGAGCCTTTCCTTTTCCTCTTGGTGAAAAGGCCAGATTTTGGTTCACATCTGGATAATGCTGGGTAAAATGTAAAATAAAAGATAACGTATCACTTGGACAAATAGAGATGTTATTCTTGCAGCAAATGCTGGCCCTCTAAATTCTGCTTATGCCTCTCTTCCTGTACTACACAAAGTTTACATTGTCAGGACACTAGTCACTGAGAAAGAACAAGACCCGAACCACATAGCCTGATGACCTGGTTTCCAGTTCCAACTTTGCCATTAACTAGTGCCGGGGCCTTGGCCAAGATTTGCCCTCTGCATCTGTAAAATGGGGATAATACTCATCGCACTAGGTTGCTGGAGGGATTAAATAAATTAGTGTATGTAAAGTGCTTGACACTGTGTCAGACACATAGCAAGTGCTCAATAAAGAGAAGCCATAATTAATAAAGTAAGATCTTAACTGCTTTCCAGTTTTAGAATTTTATGAGGTCTACAGTAGAGAGATTATGAATTTTGAGATCCAGCCTGCTTATCATACGTGGCAGAATAGCAAACATCCAAAATAGCAAAAAGATCCCCTACTTCTCAAGCATCTCAAATTTTCAGCAAAGGAGCAAGTTCAAGTGTCTGGGTCCTGGGCCCTCACTAATAACAGCTAGACATTTCAAATTCTGAAAACCCTGGAAGGTAGCTATAATGATCCTCATTTTGCAGATAAGCACAAGTAGGAGTAGAGAGGTGAAATAACTCAATGTCAAACAGCTGCAAAGTGGCAGACGGTGATTCCAAAGTTCACGCCCCTTTCCAGTCTGTTTCCCTGCCTCCCACATGGCAAGCATTCAACTGTTTGTAAATAATGAAATAATGAGCAAGATATTTCAGGATCTTTAAAAGGACGGGAACATGCCCTCTGTGGTAGAGAAAGAAGTTGGCATCATCACTCACTCTTGCCCACAGTTTGACGCTCCTGCCTTCTCAGCTCCCAATGACCCGCTCTAGCAATTCTGCCTCCCTCGCTAGCATCAAGCCACTGTGCAGGCCTCTGTGTGCACGTCTCCTTCCGTGGCAGCTTAGACTGCTTCTTCAGCGAACTGCGTGCTTGGATCTCCCCCAACACCCCTCCCACACACACACACATACACAGCATTCAAAATCCAATAACAGGTATCCCTTTTTGGAAGACAAGTTTCCCAAACTCTGACACCAACATCCGGGGAGGCTTACCCACTAGTGGGGGCCCCAAATCAAGCCAAACTGATGAAGGAAAGGGAGGTGACGCAACTGGGCCTCCTGAATCAGGCCAGACGGAGGTTGAGCGCGGTGGCCGTGACCCTGCAGTGGGCTCTCCACGGTGGCCGCCTACGCCTTCCCCGCGTGAGTCACGCCAGGCAGCGGATGTTATCACCGGGATCAGGCGCGGGTCCTATGCAGTTTGGGGGAGAAGGCGCCAGAAGGCGCGTCCCAGGACGAGTCCCAGGCGCCTCGCTCTCGAGTCATTCTCCGAGGCGACGGAGTCCGCGCGGCGAGAGGAAAACAAGGGCCTCTGGTACCCAGCTGTTGGGCCCCGGCCCGCGCCAGCGCCGGAGCATCCGTGCGCAGCCTCTGCCGCCCACACACCGGCGCACACACGCATACGAGCACATCAGCCCTGGGCGCCCGCCTCCAGGAAGGCCGCCGAGCACAGTCACTGTCCCCCACCAGCGCGTCCCCACCCGGCCCTGCGGCCACCCTCAGCGCCCCGTCGGGGCGCACCCGCGCTTCCCCTTTCAGCAGCGCCAGAGCCTGGAGAGGCCGCACGCGCCGGGAGATCCAGTCGCCGCAGGTGATCGCGGAGAAGGAGGAGGCCTCTTACCGGGTCCTGTAATTCCTCGGGACACAGCCGGACCCCAGGGGTTGCCACTGCCGCCGGGACCCTCCCCCCGCCCGCCCCCACCACGTAGCCCTCTCTACCTTCAGTCGGGAATCAATGGTCTGGTCGCAGATTGGTGACATCACTGGCGCGCCGGGTGTGGGAGGAAGCACCACGTGATTCCTTCCTCTTTTGTTTGCGCCCTGGGAAAGCCGGGTTTTGTTGCTAAGTCTTCCTTGTTGTTCTTGTTGTTTTGTTTTTAATGATCTGTTGATGCTGTTGTCGTGGGCAGGGTGGGGAGTAGGTACTTGGGTTTGGGATGCTACATTTTTGCTCATGGCCTTGATTAAATTCCTTCTCGGTCATCCATAATGTAATTGGGCCAGAAAGCCTGAGAAGATATATAGGTATTGTACTCTTTTTAAAAAAGTGACCCTCAAGTCCACAGAATTAGTTAATAATGCACTAGAACCAGTAGTCCTTAGATGGCCCGTTTACATTAAGTTAAACTAAGTCATTTTAAAAATAATATGAACATGTCCTTTAACTTGACACTCCGCCTGAGAACGAAAATTTTACCAAGTAACTTTAACTGTAAGTGGTCCCCATCTTCTACCAGTACCTCCCTCAGAAATAACCCACATCCTCAATTTGTATTACACAGCTATTACTTTGCTATACATTTTCACATTTGTATGCATTAATGAGCAATATAGTTTTTTTGTTTTTTGGGGGGGGTTTTGAGTTGGAGTCTCACTCTGTCGCCCAGACTGGAGTGCAGTGGCCGCTCCCAGCCACCGCAGGGCTGGGCTCCGGCGATCCTTCCGCCTCAGCCTTTCAAGTAGCCGGAATTACAGGCATGTGCTACCATGCCCGATTGATTTTTTTGATTTATTGTAGAGATGAGGTCTCGCTGCCCAGGCAGGTCTTGAACCCGCGAGCTTAGGCAATTCACTCACCTCAGCCTCCCAAAGGCGCAGGATTACAGGCTGAGCCACCGAGCCCGGCGAGCAATATGGTTTTATTTTTTCCTAGTTTTTTTGTGTATTTGAGACTTTCATCTAGTGTCCTGGGACTTTTTCCTTCACAAATACGTTATTATGATTCATCCTTGCTGAGTGAAGTTACATTTTGTTCATTTTCACTGCTACATAACAATCCATTATGGACCATAATTTATTTATCCATTCTCCAGTTGCCAAACATTTGTGCAGTTTCCAATAGTTCTGTTTTGAGCATTGCCTTCTGGTGCCCCTGTACAAAAATTTCTCTTGGATATATTTGCCAAGGAGTGGAATTGCTATGACTTCAGTGTGCCAGTATTCAAATTCATAGGATAGTGCCTAGTTTTTATCCAAGTATCTGTGCCAGTATACACTCCTACCAAAATCCATTATCTCTAACATCTCAGATTTCTTGATTTTAGCCAATGAAATGGGAGTTACATGGTGTTTCATCCTGGCCTTATTGGCATGTTCCTGAGGTTAAGCACCTCTTTTATATATTTATTGGCCATCTGTGTAGTTCTTCACTGAAATGTCAGTGTAGAGCATTTGAGGGATTTCAAGACTGAGCAAGGAAAAATGTATGAACAGGAGGTGGCAGTAGCATACACAAACTTTATTTCGGTGAGCTTTGACAAGTTTGCGGGTAGGGGAAGTCACTCACTGCATCAGAAGATCCAGAGATGGGGGAAGGGAGATTATTGAAAAGGGGAGGAAGGAAGGAAACTTCCAGAAGAGAGTGGACTTAGCATGTCTAGGTGATGTTGTTCAGCAGCCCATGGGAAGTCTCTGGGTCAGAAAATTCCCATGGGCAGGAGCAAGTTGGGGTCTTCACAGCCACAGGATTTATCTTATCTATAACTAGCAGATGTAGGGCCCAGTTTCATGATGTATACAAAGCAGGCAAGCAGCTCTTTGGGCAATGTTTAAAACACTTGGATGTATAAACATTTGAGTTTGGTGCTGACAGGCTTTTGAGCTAATCTCAGCCTTTTGTGAAGAAATAAACAATGTAGGGGCCCATATACAGAGGCCATCTTGGGTTCATTTATGTAAGTCAGTTCATGTCTTTTAGCCATTGTCTTAGTGGATTGTCAGAATTCTTTATAAACTTTGTACACAAATTCTTTGTCTGTTATATGTGTTGCAAATTTATTCTTCCATTTATGTCTTGTCTTTCACTTTCTGTTTTGATAAACAGATGTTAACTTAGAATTTATAGACATTTATCCTGTTTTTCTTTGTCCCCCACCCTAATATTCTCTTACTCTTTCTTCTAAAAATATTTAGTTTTGCTTTTGACATTGAAATCTTTATTCTATCTGGGATTTATTTTTGTGTATGGTGCAAGGTAAGAATCTAATTTTTTTTTTTTTTGCATACAAATAACCTTTCCCCTCAGCTTTGTTTGTTGACTAGCCCCACTTTTCCCATCTTTGTTACAAAGAGATTCCCCCCCAAAAAACAGAATTATTTTTTGAAGGACTGGCCTCTTGTAGTACAGGCTTCTCCTGCTAAGTAAGTGTTCTAAGAACCCATCAGCATCAGTGTACCAGCTAGCATTGTTGCGAGAGACTGCATTCAGCTCAGTGAATTTTTTTGGTGATTCTTTCAATGCTTCTGCCCATTTCATGATGGGTGATTGACAAGCACACCTGCCTACACTGCACTGAGTGTTCAGCAGTGTTTGACCAAAAGCAGCATGATCCCCATGTCCTACCCTCCCCATCCACCCAATCTTGCCCCAAGTGACTACTTTTTGTTTCTCGGGATGAAAAGTCCTCAAAGGGAAATGTGAAAGAGGTGAAACAAAAAATGGTAGGAGAACTAAAGGCATCCAAATTGACAAGTCTGAAAACTGTTTTGAGCAGTGAAAAAAATCTCAGTAGGTGTATTGCATCAAACAGAAAGTACTTTGAAGGTGACTGAAGTTTAAACATGAATTATACACATTTTTTGGTAAATAAATTCTGTGTTTTTTGGGGTCCCCCTCAGATATATCAACATTCCAGTTATGTATGGGTTTTCTTCTGAGCTGTCTATTCTATTCCACTGAAAAATTTGTCTACATTGGTATCAATACCACACAGTTTAATTACTATAGCTTTATAAAAAGTCTTGATATTCAGTAGTGAAAAATATTTTTATTTTTCATCTTCTTTTTTGGCTATTCTTGGTCTTTTGTTTATTCATATTTTTCCATATTTTAAAACAATCCTCTCAAGTTGCACATACACACAAAACAACTATAACAACACCTGCTGACATGGCATTGAATAATAAACATTAGGTAAATTTGAAGATAATTGACATTTTGTGATTCTGTCTTCCAATCCATGAACAAGGGATAACTCTTTTTTAAAATTAGATCTTCATCAATGTCTTTCATTTGGGTTTTTATTATTCTCTGTGTCCAGATCTAGCACATCTTTTGGGGGCTTATTCACAGATATTTAGTAATTATTGTAAGTGATGTTTTTTATAACTATGCTGTATAAGTATATTGTTTTATGCTACCATAGAAATACATTTGATTTTTGTATATTGATGTTGTATCCAGCCACTTTGTTAAATTTTTCTTTCTAATGTTTGTCTATTGATTCTTTTGGATTTTCTATGCAAACAACCATTATCTGAAAATAATGCCAATTTTCCCCTCTTCTATCCAGATCTTATTGCCTTTTATCTATCTCAAAGTCATACTAGTTTGGCGGAAAGGGCAGTACATTGTACCAATACAATGGTGATAGTGGAAATGGTGATAGTGGGCATTCTTGATTATCCTAATTTTTGAAAAGGCAATTTAGAATTATTTTTGTAGATTTCTTGGTGAAAAAATTTAGAATGATATTTTTGTAGGCTTTCTGTAAATCCCCTTTATCAAATTATTCCTAGTTCAGTGTAATTTTAAAATCTAGAATTGGATTGAATTTAATAAAAAATCTTCTACAGCTTATTTAGCTAATATAATTTTTCTCTCCCTTTAATAAATTAATATGATGAATGACTTGATAGTTTTCCTAATATTAAACTATTTGTTCTTACATTCCTAGGATAAAAACTTGATAATAAAGTATCAATTGTATATGCTATTGTACCCAGCTTACTTTCTATACAGAATGTTTACATTTGTATTTATGAAAAACATGGGTTTGTGATTTTCTTCTTTCATTCTGTGATCTGTTTGGGTTTCAGGGTTTATAGAATGATATAAATAATATTCCCTCTTTTTATGTTCTCTGGAAGAATTTTAATAAGATTGGAATGATTGTTCCCTTCAAGTTTCAGTGGATTTCATCCATAAAACTGTCTGGGTTGGATATTTTCCTTGTGGGAGGATTTTAAATTCCTGCTTTGATTTATTTAATAGTTATGGGATTATTCAGGTATTTTATTTCTCCTTGAGTCAGTTTAATAAGTAATAGGATTTTTTTCCATTTCATCTAAGGTTTTAAATTTATGGGCCTACATTATTATTGATAGTATTCTCTTCTTCTTAATCTCTAAGTAATATAATAAATGAAAATGGAAGAATAGCTACAAATAGAGCAGACTGTATTATTGTTCCTCAAATATTTGCTCCCTTTCTTGTAGAAGGACTATACATTTCCACTTATTGCTATGTGATTTGAAGTGCCACTTGTGGGAGGAGAATGCATACCCTCCTGGTTGTCAATAAGCTTGATCACAATGATGTCATATCTGAGCAGAAGCTATAAAATATATTATGTGGGTTTCACTAGCTTTCTTGTTCTTTTCTCTCTTCCATAAGAATGTCATGTCCTTGACTGGGGACCCCAGAATGAAGAAGACATGTGGAGGAGAGCCCAGCAGTCACAGTGGTCCTGCAGACAACATATACAGCAAGAAAGAAAGAAACACTGAGATTTGGGATTTGATTAGTTACCAAAACATTCCTTTTGTTCTTAGATAAGTCATTGCAGAGGTTTATTTTTATTTATTTTTTTTAGTGTTTTTTTTTTTTTAGATTAGAAAATATAGTTTGTTTTAAAAGTAAATTAGAGAGAGAGAGAAAGAGAGATTCACCTCCCAAGGTAG